TTAATTAGTATTATAGGTATTAGATATATAATATTACACTTACTAACTAGTAAGACATATATATTAGATTTATAGGCTTAGTTATGTTTACGTAGTATAACTTTCCCTAAAGTAGCTTAGCTTGCATTAGAAATGAGCCTATCTTAGCAAGCGACTTATCGAATTTTAGAAAAATCAAATCTTCACCTTGAGTTGAATAAATCTCCTGCATAGTACTACTTACTATGAGCGCAAACGATGCCCGATAACATAGGGATTACTAGCGACGTCGGGACCTGGGCCGCAGTCGCATTTGCAATCCTCGCGCTGATCGGAATAATCGGGCCGTACCTAGCTTTACAAGCGGCACTCAGCGACACCAACCGCGCTATGAACGCGATCCAGGACCGTGATCAGAAGTACATTTCCCGTGGCTGGCATCTATGGAATGGATTGTATATTTTTCGGAAGATTAAAGTCCCTGATTTGGCGCCTGCTTATAAGAGCAATGAGTTGGAGGTCGAACCCCTAGTGAAAGAGGCGAGGAGGGCTGCGCAGGGGAGGTGGGTATTGAGACCGACGGATTTCGCGAGGTGGAACACCGGGTGGGCGAAGTTGGCGGAGTTGTTGCAGGCGTATCAGGTTAGGGACGGTGTTACTAATACCCCTGTGGAACTTGGGGTTGCGAAAGAGGGTGGTAATCTTGAGGTTGTGAATAGTAGGACTACGCTTGTGGTGTCGAAGCATTGGATCTTGCTAATTGGGCTACTTGGGCGGTATGGGATGAGGAAGGACAAAGGGGTGCTTCAGATGACGGGCATCCGAAGAAACTTCCAAGGCGAACGCGCCGAGATGCGTAACTTTGTCAGTGAAACTGAGAGAGTGGAACGAGAACCACCGGATGGATTTGATCGAGTAATTGTCAAGAAACGGCATAAAAAACACTTGCGCGTAGCCCTGAAATATAGCAGGTCTGATTCGAATTCCGAATTCTCATCTAGCGAAAGTGAGAGTGAGAGCGAGATCATGAAAAACATTGTCATTGAACGTGGTCCGTACGGTGGCTGGAAAATCCAGAAGCAAACTGAGAGCATGATATACGGCATTACTGGGACGATACAAGCCGTCGGGAGAAACAAGGGGGACTGGAGCTATTTGACATCCATCGCTTTCGTGCCTCATACCGAGCGAGAGATCTTTCCACGCGGGCGGTCGGAGAAGAGTGATCGCCTGTCACTCCAAGACCAATTCTGGCTTGCACATGGTTTCCTTCCGTGTAGTTCGTTGGGGGGGCAGCAGACGGTTATATCGATGGAGAGTCCTGAGGATACGGCGAATGATGCTGGAAGGTCGTTTCGGAGGAGAAACTTGTCGAACAACAAGCCGGCCTTTCAGCTCCGGGAAGGTTCCAATGATATACCCGTATCAATCGGGAATGCGATGAGATGTCTAGGTATTCCGCCACCCTTAATTCTTCAATTCCTGCCAATTGAGCCACATGAGTATATCAAATTCCAGCTTGAGAAAGATAACAGAGAGAATGCGGAAAATACTAGCTCTAGGGTTAGTGTTGAGGCGGAAGATACTAGCTCCCAGGCGAGTGTGGAAGAGACGGAAATAATCTCAATTATTAGTACCGAGTCCACAACTGATAGCAATAACGATTTTGAAGTTCAAGGCCCCTGGGTCCATTACCCCGCCCGCGGCTGGGTAATATCGAAGAAAGACCTCTCGAGAGTGCTCCGCATCATCCTCAGCTTCAGCTGGGATGAGTGGGGGTGTCTCATCTGGAGAGATTGGTTCTGGTCCGCAGTCTTAAAGCCAGCTACCAACATCCTTCGAAGAGATGACATCCTGTGCCTAGACTTCACCAGAGCTTTCGGCATGAAGATGCCCATCAAAGCACTTGGGTGGCATCTTGGAAGAGAGTTTCATCCACAAAAGACGCTGAATTATCTTGCTTTTGATGAGGCTCTGGAGGAGTTACTAAAGGCCGAGCATGTGAGGCCGCTAAGACTGGCCCTTGGAAGTTTGTTTATGATTGATGGTGGATTCAGACGGCAGGTTGAGAAAGCGATTGCGAATCTTTGTAAAAATATCGCGGAAGCATCTAGCAAGGATGGTTTGACCACAGAACAGTCTCAGGCGGATGATAGGAGCATACAGGACGCTGGTATCAAGAAGATGGACGAAGAATGTAGTAAAATTGAGGAGAAGGTGAAAGCGATTGAGAAGTCCTTGAAGGACATGGAAAAAGCGATGAGCGAATATGAACAAATCAAAAAGGTGGAGCACGAGGAAGCGAAGGAGAGGGAGGAGAGAGATCGGGGGCCGGTTCTAGGGAGTGAGTTGGTGCGACCGATATATACACGTATGAGTCTCGAACACCTGAGCATCACAACCCTAAAATTCTTTGACATCAGTTTTGAGAGGCAGGTATGTTGACACTGCGCCCCTCTATAATATCCTTATTAATTGAAATAGGAGCGCTACTCAGAGCCCGAACATATCGTCATCCTGCACCTAGTCCCTGAATGGGAGCAGGACATGTTGTGGCAGCATACCCGACGAATTCGCGAGATCAAGAGTACAAAGACTGAGTACAAACGGACAAAGGCATTACTAAAACATGCCAAAAAAGAGCTGGAGAAAAGACGTATCGGAGTCTTCCGTTTTAAATACGCAAATAAGTCGCTGAAGTGGTACTCAGACGTTACTGCTGTAATGGAACAGTCTTCATGGGTGCTCGATGAAGACCTAGTGATGGCGCCTGGTAGTCCGGAGGAAGTAAGTATCTCTGAGAAAGAGACCGTTATCATTGCGCTGTGGGCAGCGAATCGGGCAGCTCTTTGGCTGAGTTCTCAGGATTCCAAGCCATTGCTCAAATTTATAGAAGCGCTTGATCCGAATGTTTATGTTCTTTAGATGAGAGGTTCGGGACAGCAATGACGGTGGAGTAGCAAGCAGTAAGTTCTAAATCTTCGCTTGGCGCCGAAACTACTAATATACAGTATTAGTGTGTCCGCATACAGTTTACAGCTTTCCCTCGTCCTGACTCCTAACGCAGCTAGGGGAAACCCACCAAAAGAGAGCGTGGAAGTGAGGTGTATAGTTATACATAAGCCCGTCAAATGAACCTTACGCAAAACATACTTCATACTTTCCCTGTCTCAGTTGAAGAATTTTCATTCGCAATAATTACACAAACTTATGATTGTCCCCTCCTACTAAATAGCATGATACCACCCCCCCCCTTCCAAGACACGCTCAGCGATACAGACTAGCATACGCAGAGAAAGTTTAGGCCAATATAAGAGGTGAAAAGGCAAGGACGATGGTAGGCTATTGGCTGCTTTCTGAAACCAACATGCCATATAAAAGTAAGAAACGAACTTGTAAACCTAGGATTACTGCCAGCGAAACCGGGTTTAGTGCCAAAATTGACCGAGTGTGTTAGTATTTAGTGCGTGACGAACTCCCCTTGGTGCTAAATTTCGTTTGTCGCTTCGACAATATGGTCCATGGTCCGTCCTCGCTCACCCCTTATTGGTAACACAGGTATCGGATAAGTGTGTTCAATGGACCCATCCTTGGCCTAGTAAGTTACGGCAAACCAATTACTTCACAAGATTGACTTCTCGGATTCTTGCAAATTTACAAAACAAAACTAAAACTCGCTGAGTGTGACTAATATATCACTCCTCCGTGCATTGCACGTGCCCCCCCCCCCTCTCCCTAAATTAGCATTACCATTGCCATCGCTCGTATCTATCAGAAATGTACAACATTACTCAAGCTGTAAAGGCTACAGCTGGTAACGAATTGGGTATCTTTGAAGAAGGCGACTTTTTATTCTGAAACGGGTTTGGTGTTATTCTTTGCGACGTTTGCTCAATGGGTGCTTTCACTCGACCTGGATGTTGAGCTACACTGCAGCTTCTAGATGATCCACAGCAAAGTGGGGCCTTCTGCTTGTTTTCTGTCTTGGTATATACCCATCCTGTCTTTATGCCAGCACGTTTGTAGTCATGTTGTGGAGTGAGGCTTCGGAGCGCAGGTCTGTTCGAATTCGTACATGGGCCGGGTGAATAGTCTGGCAGAAGGATGGCGAGCTCTAGCTTCGAAGGTCACCTCTTCAGCATTGAATGTCACGTCTTCAGTATTGAATTCTCCGCATGGCAGGCTATTTTGAAGTTGTGAAGTTGCGAGACGAGGCAAAGATGGCAGAAACGTTTATTGTAGTGTTGAAAGGCTGACTAATCCAGCCCGTTCCCTCCTGTTGCCTCTGGCGTTCTCACGAGGCAAAGACGACGACGACGACGACGACATCAACGCGGCTTCAAGATTCTCAATCAGACCTTATGATTGAGACAACGAGCTTGTACTATGATAAACAGACACCTTGCATCATTGGTACTGTTCTCACTAACACATCTTACCTATCACTGACAAGTAGCAATTCCTTCCCGTCATGGAAAAAACCACGACTGATATTCACCGGTAGGATAAGTATTATAAACCTGTTTTACATTTATTGAGAGTGAATCCGGTAGTACTCCAATAATGAGAAAAAAATTTCTAGCTTGAGCTATTGCCTGTAGCATTATCCCTGGAGTCTTTTTGTTTTTTGCTATTTTTTCTACCGGTATTCGTTTGCTAAATTGCCATCATGGCGTTCAAAACAAAACCTTAGTATCGTACATCGCAGAATCAGGAGGATCACGATGTCCATAATCTCCGTTCCTGCAAAAGTTTTTGCTTTTGAGATTTATTGAGCATTGCGGAGCATTTCCATATTCATCGACTTCTTTTAAACACAAACCTTTGCCCTCTGTCATTCACTATTTTTACACTATTAAGCTTCTAAATGAATGGTAATCTTACTATCTGTTCTTCTCTTCCTTTACTTATACCTCTACTCTACCTTCTTGCAACTGGCACAAAAACCAAGATTGAAAACCAAACCCCCCCAACAAAAGACATAGGCAAAAAAGCCTGCTATGAAGCACACTAGCAATCATATGGCGCCCCAAAACATATTACAAGTCCTGAAGCAGGCCACGGAATCTCCATCAGCCAAAGGACTTATCATTTACGACCCAAACGCTACAGACAAGTCATATACAAAAGTCAGTTATGCACAGCTGTATGAACAAATATCCATTAGGGCAGAACGTCTAACCGCGATTGACGCACTATCTTCGAATCAAATTGTCGTCCTCCACGTAGAGCATCAGCTAGATGGCATCTCTTGGTTCTGGGCCATTCTTGCTGCCGGAGGCATCCCGTGTATGTCCACTCAGTCAAATCAGGACTTCGAACATCGCCAGCATCACCTAATGTCGCTTCATAAGCTACTCGACCACCCACTGTTTATCACCACAGAAAATCTCCGTTCGCAATTTTCCGATCTCGAAGGACTACGAGCTTTTACAACTACTGACATCGACAACATCTCCACCTTGAATGTAAACTCCAGTGGCTCACTGAAAAGCCACACTTCAAAATCAGTGTTGGCAAAAGGCAATGTTCCAGGGCTCTCAAAGAAACCCGAAGACCTCGCAGCTCTCATGCTCACATCTGGTAGTACTGGTGACTCAAAAGCTGTTTGTCTTACACATTCTCAGCTACTATCCTCCATCGATGGAAAGGTCAAGCTTCATGAAACTACCTCCCAGGACACCTTCCTCGCCTGGACCGGAATTGACCATGTTGCAAATCTCGTGGAGATTCATCTACATGCTATGAGACTCGGGGCCATTCAAATCCATATTCCGCCCTCCTCGGCCGTGGAAGAACCACTGAATTTACTCCAGAAATTGAGTGATCATCAGGTGTCATACACTTTTGCTCCCAACTTCCTTCTTGCCGGAATTGCCCGGGCTTTGGAATTGCTTCCTAATCAAGCGACGCTCTCACTTGACCTTTCTTACCTTCGGGCTTTGATTTCAGGAGGAGAAGCCAATTCTGTGGCAACTGCCGTTAGACTCACAACATTGTTACAGAAATATCATGCGCCTGCGTCATTTATTCGCCCAGGTCTAGGCCTGACTGAAACATGTGGTGGTGCAGTCTATAGCGACAACTGTCCTTCCTATGATGTTTTGCAGAATACGGAGCATTGTTCTGTTGGGTTTCCCACTGATGCAATCCAGGCTCGGGTTGTCCGTAGTGATACGACGACAGCAGCACCTAATGAAATAGGCTCACTTCAGCTATCGGGTCCCTGTGTTTTCAAAAGTTACTACAGTAATCAGGAAGCGACATCAACAAGCTTCACGTCGGATGGCTGGTTCAAGACAGGAGATCTGGCATTGATCGACAAGCACGGAAAGCTCCTCTTGACGGGCAGAGAGAAAGATTCCATTATCATCAACGGCATCAAGTACTACTCCCAAGCAATTGAATCTATCATCGAAGCAGCACAGATCCCAGGTGTCACTCCCTCGCACACCGCCACCTTTCCACATTGGCCCGAGGATCATCACACGGAGGTTCTTTGCATTGTCTATTTACCGACTTATGACCGCAACGACTATGCGACAGCAATGGCTACAGAAGTAGCAATTTCCAAGTCTGTCATTGTCTACTGTGGCGTTCGACCTTACCGCATCATTCCTCTCGAAGCATCACTTCTCCAGAAGTCTTCACTGGGAAAGCTCTCGCGCCCAAAGATCCGAGCAGCTTTTGAAGCTGGAAAATATGATGCCTACGCTTTGTCTGACGAAGCAAAGCTCACCCAGCTTCAGCATGACTCGCACCAGCCCGCAGCTACAATTACGGAGCTGACCATCATTGACGTTTACCTGCAGATGTTCCCAGGTAGCCTTCAATTGGGAAGGAACAGCGATCTCTCGGCACTTGGCGGCTCCTCCGTCGACCTCTTGAGACTTAAGTCCTTTCTTCAAAAGGCCCTTAGCATTCACGACATCCCCATCAATATACTGTTTGCTCACACAGTTCTCCACGAGCTCGCAGAAGCTTTGGACTCGCTCAAGCATACACGTAATTTCTCACCAGTGGTGGTACTGCAGCCCCATGGCGACAGAACTCCCATCTGGTTCGTCCATACTGGCCTCGGCGAAGTCCTAATCTTCATGAATCTCGCGCGCCACATCACCGACCGCCCAGTCTACGCACTTCGCGCCCGAGGCTTCGACGGCGAACCGCACTTCACCTCGCTGGACGAACTGGTCACCACCTACCACTCTGCCATCAAGAGCACACAGCCAGAGGGACCATACGCTATAGCAGGCTATGCATCTGGATCCATCGCTACCTTCGAGATCGCAAAGCAAATGAATGCCCAAGGCGATGCAGTCAAGTTCCTCGGCATTCTTGACCAACAGCCTGCAGTGAAAAAAGGTGCCAGAACATATGATTGGTACAAAGTGGTTCTACACATCGCCTTCTTCCTGGATCTCATGGACGAGGAATATGCACTTTCCTACCTCGCCGAAGCACAGACTCTCTCGCACGACGAGGTCCTCAACCATATCATGGCCCTTGCCCCTGCTTCGAGATTGCACGAGCTGGGCATAACCAAGGCGAAGATAGACAATTGGGCGAATATTGCCTTTGGCCTGAAGCAGATCATCTGCGATTACGATCCAGCGGGAGAGGTCCACTGCATGGATGTCTTCTACACTGCGCCGACGGCGCCGAATGGATCTGCATCGGCTATGACTCTCAACGAGCGGTTCTCTGGATTCATATCGAAATGGGATGGCTTTGTGGACGTGGAGTCAGGAGGCGACGCGAGGTATCATGTCCTGGAGGGCACGCACAGGACCATGATCACACCGCCCAACGTGCTTAGTTTCCATAAGATTTTCACCACGGCTATGGAGGAGCGTGGACTGTGATTTTGCATATTTGGCGTCCGGCTTGATTAGCTGGGCTTGTATTCTAGATTGCTATCTTTTGGAACGCGATAGATCACGAGCAATAAATAAAACGTCAAGCCAGAACCAGTGTGGTCTTACATGCTGCTCTCAGATCTTTCAGTAATATCCATAATTAAGGAGGTGAGACCGCAAAGATTAGATTCTCGAGATATAGTTCGAATCGACTTAGTAATGTTTTCGTATACTCTGTTATTAAAAAGGTGAGAGCGTAAAGATTCGCGAGATATAATATAGTCGAAATCGGCTTACTAATCAAGCGACGTGATGCGTGCCTTCCTTCCCTGTCCAGGACATGTGAGGGAGGATAAATGGCAGTCGTACTGTACGTGTTTTAATCGCCTATTAACTACCCGGCGGGCCTTTACGACATGTATATCCTATATCCCGCATTACTACTCCATATAGAGATAAATTTGCTTGAGAAGAGAATTGTTAGTTCCCCTACCGATACCAACGCAAATAACAATTCTTTTTTCAAACTCAAGTTATCTTGGAAAATCGGCGGGCGGGTTATTATTAGACGAAGTATGCCTAAAGAGACTTCCCGCCCGTTCGAAACGGCGGTGGGAGCTTCCTCTTCCTCTTATAGCCCGCGGCCCCTAAATATCGGTTAGCTAGGCTAGGTAGGTAAATTTATAGGGCTAGGGAGTAGGGGCTGAGAACAGCGGGGATGAGCTTCGGCCAACGATCGGGGGCTGGCAGGTGGACTATACTTACTCAAGTTACTCGGTAGGACTTAAGGTTAAGTAAAGTAAATCTAGACTACTCTATACCGGGGTTGTGAAAAAGCTTGGTTTGAACTTTCTTAATTCAAAAGGGATTCTGGTGTCCCGAAACCTCAAATCAGCAACTCGCATGCGTGCTCTAATCAATTTGAGTTTATAAGACCTTTGAGTTGTTACTTTTGTAAGGTGTTCTTCGTTGTTTTAGAGAGGAGACTCTTTCGAGCTTCTTTATGGTACTGCGGACCACGCTTTTGGGATCTCGTTTTCCTATATAGATATAGGGTTAGCACAGCCATGCGGGTAGGGCATCGTTCTAAATAAACCTTACGCATGGGCCTGATTTCGGGGGCCTTTGATAGGAACTAGATACGGCGTGGGCCGTACAAATATTAAGGAGGGGGCGGGGACATGGCACAGACCCCCTGCAAGTGTGGGGTATTTATAGATTTTAGGACTTTTAGTAAGATTACTTAAGAACGTCCATGTTATAAGGTAAAACGTACCCAGCAACCACTGCGCAACGGATGATTTGCGTGCAGAGGGTCGTTTAGATCTGTCCCACCCCCCTTAACTTTACCCCTGACACAGATAAATGACGAGATTTCATTTGGTGTTTCCAAAGAGATCCGTGAGGCTGAAGGGTCCGCGGACCAGCTTTCAGGAATTGCTCAAACTACTAGATCTGGCCAATCAGGTAATTTTCATCATATACTCGCGCAGTAGACTCGGTGGTGAACTGAAGCTATGCCTCTTTGTGAAATAGGCACCGCGCGTAGGACTTGCCATCATTGGTTAGCCATAACGGCCCCCAGCGAGAATCCCTGTGGCCTATGCTCAAACCATCAGCCCGACCCGTCTGGGAGATTCGGACTAATGCTTTCTGCTGCTGTGCCTTAACGTGGCTTTACTGCTGTGCCGCTGCTAGAGTGTTAAAGCTCCAAGGGCCTCCGTATACACGTGTTGAGAGTCACGATCATTTCTTACGTCGGAGTTTTTGTTGTTCGAATTGCTTTCTTCTTCCCTGTTGTTGCTCTCAACACTCCCTTAAGATGCTCGTTACTACAGCCGTTCTTTTCTTTGCTGTGATCGTTAACGCCACTCCTTACTTCTCAAATACAACCTCGAGTGTTCGCAGCACTTCGGGGATCTCCTCTCTAATAGTAACATCCTCGAGTCTTTCAAGCACTTCGCGCACTTCGGGGACCTCCTCTCTAATAGAAACAACCTCGAGTCTTTCAAGCACTTCGCGCACGTCGTCGTTTCTAAGCGCAATAACTCCAAGCCCTTCAAATATCTCGTCGAGCAATTCTTCGGGTCACAATGAGACGATAACAGGCTCAGCATATTACGACCCGTATGCATTTCTCAATCCGTATTTTTATAGGGTTTTAGCTGCAACCGGGGATGCGCGTAGTAGTCTTATGTCCTGTAGTTCTATTTGGGGGTCGGACTTTTCCGCATGGAGCTTGACGGCGGAGAAAACCACGGGTCCAGTTATTGCTGCAACGACTGAGACGAGTATCATATTACCATATGTAAGCACACAGGATGGCTCGACGGAGATATCCCGTGGCACCAAGACGACATGGACAAGCACCATCTCGGAATCTGTTGTAACAGTTTTACCCCAAACCACCATTATAACTTCGGCTGCAATGGGCCCTCTTTACCTCGCCGAGAGTTCTTTCGATTTCACGGCATCTGAACCGTGCTGTTATGGCTGTACGTTGTCTGGAGGAACCGTCCAAGTCTTTTATTGGCCTACAGAAACCCAATCCCCTCCAATATCTACGCTCGTCAATGATGTCGGCTTTACTTTGTATGTGCCAAGTCCCATGTCCCACTACATTTCCTCCTTATAATGTGTCTAATTTAGAACCTCCCCGTCGATATATGTTGCCTTTGAGACATTACTTGCAAGTAATATGTGTGGAACTGTTGGAGCAGGGTTTAGCACTACCACTTTGGCATTTGCACCAGGCGATCTATCTACCTCCGCAGCCTGGATTGTCGCATCATCTCTCACCTGGAATGTTCTTCTTGGCGAGGGTACGCTCGCATGGACTAAAGCAACCTTTGGAGACATGTAAGCCATGCTATATCTTTGTTCCTGAGTCTGCGGCTATGGATCACTAATATCTTTGCCATAGAACTGATTGCAAAACGACAGTTCAAACTAATTGGGGTTTTGGACCTAATGGCTATACCGATTATGCGAGCGCATTATCCGTGGCTTCATCGATGTTAGCAGAGTTCCCGATGTCAGGAGTGAATGTCGCCGATCTTGTCAATACGTATGAATGGACCTTGAATCCCTGCAAACCAACATTATCGATCCCGTCACAAGTACTTACACTCAATCCCGTATGGAGTAATTGCGCAGCACCACTTACTGCTTTTTATGACCCTCCTTACGCATTGTCTCAAGGCAATGGATTTGCTACCATAGCACCCGTTACAAGCTCAGCGGTTCCAGTAGCAGCAGCAGCAGCAGACATGGCAAGCGCTACAGTTACAAGTCTACCAACTTCAACTACACCTTCTACCACTCCCACAGCGGCTTCTCCGTCGTCTCATATCGAAGTACAATCAGTCAAAATCATAACGCCAGCCGAGTCGCTGGCTTCTTCAGCATCAGATGGATCGTCGAGAAACCCTGCAAGCAGTCCAGTTCCAGTAGCAAGCGACCCAGGAACCACTGCCGCAGTTGCACCTGGCACTCAATCGAGCAACACAGGAGAGAATGTGCCAGTTGCAAGCGGACTATCATCGAGCATTCAGGATCCGCCACAAGATCCAACCAGTCAAGCTCCGGTCACCGTTTCATCACCATCAGCGGCTGTACTCAACTTCGGGTCCTCAGCTATCACTGCTGATGCATCCTCTAATCTGGTCATTGCTTCTCAGACCTTGACTCCCGGCGGCGGAGTAACTATTTCCGGGACTCATGTCTCGCTAGCTTCCAATGGCGCTTACGTCGTTCTTGATGGACAGAGTACCCAGAGCCTAGCTACTGCCACTGCAGCTGCCACACCACAAGCAGCAGTCCTCAGCTTGGGCTCCTCAGCTATCACGGCTGATGTGTCATCCAACCTCGTCTTTGCTTCCCAGACCCTTACTCCCGGCGGCGGAGTGACAGTTTCTGGAACACAAGTCTCGCTAGCTTCGAATGGCGCTTATGTGGTTATTGATGGGCAGAGTACCCAGAGCCTAGTTACCGCTACGGCACAAGCAGCAGTTCTCACTATCGGCTCCTCAGCTATCACCGCAGACAAATCCTCTAATTTCATCATTGGCTCTCAGACTCTCACGGCCGGTGGTGCGGCAACGGTGTCTGGAACGACCATTTCCTTGGCTTCAAATGGTGCATATATTATACTTGATGCACAAAGCACCCAGAGCCTGCTTACTTCCACGCCACCGGCAGCAGTTCTCACTGTTGGCTCCTCAGCTATCACCGCAGACAAGTCCTCCAATTTCATCATCGGCTCTCAGACTCTTACTGCGGGCGGTGCCGTAACGGTATCAGGGACAACCCTCTCGCTGGCTTCCAACGGGGCTTATGTAGTTGTGAACGGACAAACCCAGGTGCTCGCCACTGCCACCCCAGCATCAGCCCTCGAATACATCATTTCCTCGCAGACGCTCCGACCGAATGGCCCCGCAATCACCGTTGCGGGCACCGTGATGAGTCTCCTGCCCGGTGCAGCAAGCGTGCTGGTAGGCAGCCAGACCGTGGCCGTGGGTGCTCTAGTAGGCGCCACGACGACGGCGGCGCCGCTTGGAAACGCCATTATATCGGTCGGGGGGTTCGCACCGGCGCAGGCAACGAGCACAGGGACAGGGACGGGGAGTAGTAGTTCTAACGGGACATTGTTTTTGGGGAGCGCCGAGAGGAATAGGATACCTAGGAGTATATGGGTCGTGGAATTGTTAATAGGGCTTGGAGTGCTTGGTCTAATATTGCTTTGAAGATTTATATACTCCTAATTCATAATGATTGCGATTGATACCCACGATATCAGCGTTGATTGCCCTAGAGTAGCTTGCTATAGATAGCCAGTCCCTATATACAAATACCGAAGGCGAAAAGGTAGATAGATTCACGACCTCGTCTCGCCGAGTGCAGAATACATGCAATATGAGACGAGCCATCTATAGCGTCAAAGAAGGTATATCAAGAACCCGTCACTAGGATAATTACAGTCAGCAATCCGTTTCCGAAGTTGATGCTGTCCTGGGGGTAATTAAATAACAAGGTACGAAATCTGATGCTCGAGGCATCCGTCGATACCCTGCTGCTTTAGCTGTGCTGTGTTGTGTTGAAATAGGAATGTTTCTTCGATGCTACAGTACGCAGTACTGCATAGAAGAGGAGAGGAGAGGTCGGGTGAGAAGTATATGTAATTATGTGTATGCGTGAAAGGAAGCTTTTTGCTGTAGCTGTACGTGCCTTCTTCGTTTGAGAATCTGGGGGTATATATTTAATATAGTACCGTAGGTAATTAATTATATATATATCAGGCCTGGATTAGATGGATAATCAGCTAGCACATTGAGGGTTTTGCCGCATTGCATTGCATTTGAAGCGAGGCTCCGTCAGTGAGGCTCGCATCGGATCGGGTCGAGACCGATGTATAGCACGTGCAAGGCACGCTGCACGCCCCGAATTGTGGCGTGCGTGTAGAAAGTGGATCTCAGATGTACTTGTATGTTGGTTGTGATGTGGCACAGTCTGCATGCAGTGAAACTTTCCTTTGCTCCTCTCCTCTTCCTGTTCCTCACTGTGATCCACTCATGACGCACCGTTCCTTGGAATAATACACAAGTACCGGTATCATGTCGTACGTACCGGTACCTTACTTTCCAGCATTGATAGCCGCGCTTATATCCAAGGACACGCTTCCGCTAGTGATGCTCGTCATTCAGGGGTTGTTTTAATTGTGTTTCTCCGGCAGTGTGCATTAGATTGGATGGAATAGAACTATCTATACTTCGTATTTTGGGTAGATGTGAGTTCATCTAAGAATGTAATGCCATTGCATGAGGGAGGTCAGGTAGGTAGGTATAGTAGGTGTTGCATGATAAGATCTCTCTTCCTTGTTTGTTAGGGGGGTTTTGTAGATGATGCGTTTGTACTTGTTTATTGTTGGTTGGTTCCCTGTTTGCAATGGATGGATGAATGAGTGAGTTTGGGTTGAACAAAGAACAAGAAAAGGCGCTTGCTTTGTTGAATGCTTGCACCAGGAATTGATACGTGATATCATTTCATCATTTCCGAGTATGGGTTTTTGAGAATTCACTGGTCGGTCGGCTATACATTCATTTACTTGGAGGCAACGCGACCTGGCCGTCATTTACTCCGTCCATCTCGCGATCCTCAGTCCTTCGTTGTACCTTCATTTCCTGTGCTGTGGGTTTTTCTCGCAGTCCCTCGGTATCATCATGTTTAGACAACTCTTTCGGGCAGCTTTGCTTCTAAACACGGCCATCTCCGTCGTGTCAGCTATTCCAACTATCTCGGTCAAGGGAGCCAAATTCTTTGCGGATGGGCAACAGTTCTTCATCAAAGGTAAGTAACAGAGACATCAAATCAAGGCTTGGAGAGCCTCGTTCTGACAGTCCCAGGTCTAGCATACCAGGGCACGCCCTCGGATCCTCTCGTCGATACCACGCAATGTCAATTAGATGCCAAGGCCATGCAAACCATCGGCACAAACTCCATACGCGTCTACCACGCCAACCCGCTCGTCAACCACGACGGGTGCATGGAGGCATTTTCGGAGGTCGGGATATACGTCTGGCTAGATCTAGATACCTTCAACACGACCATCATAGAGACAAGCCCGGCATGGACACAAGAGCAGTTCTTCGCCTTCGCAGCCGTCATGGACGTCTTCCAGCAATATGATAACCTAGCCGGCTTCTGGATCGGCAACGAGGTCATCAACACCGCATCCGGAACGCCCGCAGCGCCGTACGTCAAGGCAGCAGTTGCGGATATGAAATCCTACATGGCGACGAAACAGTACCGGCAGATACCCATTGGGTACTCGGCAGCCGATATCGCCGCCCTGCGGCCAATGCTGCAGAACTACCTTGCGTGCGGAGGGGATCTGAAGCAGAGCATCGACTTCTTCGGCCTGAACTCGTACGAATGGTGCGGAGAATCCACCTTTGAGACATCCGGGTACGCCCAGCTACAGAACCTCACACACGGCTACCCCGTCCCGATCTTCTTCTCGGAAACGGGCTGCAACGTCCCAACGCCCCGCACGTTCGGCGACCAGGCTGCCATTTTCGGGCCGCACATGCTGGGCACGTGGAGCGGCAGTATTATCTACGAGTGGGTGCAGGAGATGAACGACTACGGCGTCGTTACGTATCCCAATGGGCAGATCTACAGCGGGGCTCCGGTGCCTGTGCAGCCGGATTTCGATACCCTGGCCGAGGTCTGGAAGGGGATTGAGCCGCAGGGGGTCGCGGAGGAGGATTATAACCCGACGGTGAGTGCGCTGCCTTGTCCGGTGCCGAGTGATGGGTGGTGGGTGGATGGGAATGTGCCGGTTCCGACGCTGGGACAGGCTGTTGTCCATGCTGCTGCTGCGAGCGTGAGGCTGGTTCCGAGTGCGAGTGCCATGTCGACGAGTTCTAGCGGCTCAATATCATCTACATCTGCATCGACGACGCACACTGGATCTGGATCTATACTCCCTACCGCAGCAGCGGCTACTACATCTCAGAAAGCCAGTTCCACTGCGGGTGCTACAACGACGACATCCAAGGCGGCTGGTTCGCAGGTCGTTGTACCGGTTTTAGGGGGCGGTCTTCTCTGGTTGTTGGGCTTGATGATATGATATGATTGATGGGTGACGACATAACACAGGGAGGGATTGTGTTTGCTTGCTGTGCTCCCTTCCTTCCCTCCCTTCCATCATACTAGAGTTGATATGATATGATATGATGCGCTGTGATGCATCATCTAATTCCCGGGGGCGTTTGCGGCGTACTAGCTATACCATACCATACCATACCACAGCCCAGCATACTTGCTAAAGCACAATAGAAGTAGAAGGACAACCAATGCATTGCAACATACAACATACACCATACATAGATGAATAGAATACGATAATTCTGAACACGCTACTTGAAACCCGCAAAACCTCACCTCCTATTCCAGAAAATTCCTTCAAATCAATGCGTCTGCGTCGAACTTCCTCCGCACGAAATACATATAGTACAGCACGCACAAAATAGAACCCGGCAACCCGGGAACCGTACAAATACAAAGCGCACCATTCCGTTCCGTTGTCGCGACTCGCGTCGTTGAGTAATATCTGCTCTAAGCCTATCAGCCCTTATCTCGAACCTGAAACGCCACACCCGCACCCATACAGTAGGACCGAATTAGGTAACGATTTCGAATTCGATTTCTTCACCTTGGCTTAACCCCGATCCGATCCACCTAGGCCACGTGACTAGGGCTAGATCTGCTCTGCATCTCTCCGATCCGGGTATCGTACGGGCCGGGTATTACCTTACCTTACTTACATCACTGTATTCGCCGCACGCACGCACGCACGCGTTGCACGGGATGGGATGGGATGGGAGTATTGGAGCTGTCAAAATGCAGGCCGCCATCAGTTGCCTGTGTGCGATCAAACGAGGTTTCAGAGACGCGTTTCTGTGGCATGGTGGAACGTGTTTCTGTTTCACGATTGATGATGGGGATCTTTGCTACGGTAACACGCATGCATGCATAGGTAAGGTAGGTAGGTAGGTACGTGCATGGAGGGATGCATGGATGCATATAGTAGAAGAGTATGGTGGTACAGATCTAATCTGCTTAGGTACTGTACTGTATACATACGGCTGTATACGACTGATTCCTGGCAAGGTATGTACAGTACAGTAGGAGGACAGGAGAGGAGATTTGTACTGTGATTAACGGCATCCTGTACTGTATCTCTGGATAGAAAGACAGGTACGCGTTTACATGTACGATGAGATTGGAGATAGATACGTACCGTACCTTGGGTAGAGCAGGGGAGTTCCCACAAAAGCTATGGAGAGCTGTGTTGGTGTTTACCTATTATTGTTATAAAGTATCGATATACATGACAAGGCAAGATATCTACGGAGTATCGAAAGCTCAACATCCAACACCGCGCTACGAGCCTCTTATCTATTCCCGCCCGGCGCCCGCCAGGTAGGTAAGAACCTGGCAAAGGCTTTCCCGAATGCTGCCAAGCTCTTCCGCTCTTGCCATGTCGTCGGATCAAGCACTTGCAGTGTTGGAATTCCAGATTACCTAGGGTACAGTACTCGTAGGAGGCCGTGTGGAGGTGGTAGACGGCGTGACCCGGATGAACTGTGGCTACTGTCTGCTGTACCGTGGCGCAGAATGGACCCACTAATACCCTCTCGGCATCCCCGGTGCACTAATGCGGACAGGACCTTCCATATCCAGTCGCCAAGGGTTTTCTGTTATCTTTCTTTGCTGGACGGTGGATACCTGCTGAATCCGCGTGGCCAATCAGCGTCCATGGCTGCCATTGGGGACGAGTCGAGTTCATCGTGGACCGTGCCGTCGACGCAGATGAGATGAGATAGACGCACACGATTCTATTTGTTGTTTCCCCTTGACCTCGCGACGGTACCGTAATGTACTACTGGGAAGGTCACTCGTAATCATCAACACACACAGGGGCTGTTATCAGGTCGTGGAGGTCGCACGACACGGGTTGGTTCGTGTGCCGTGCTGCCCCCGCGCTCTGCTGCTGCTGATTGGCTGTTTTGTCTCCGGTCCAGCTGTTCTACGTCTGCTTCTAGAAACTTATCCCCGCTCCTAGCACTCGCCCCAATCTAGCTATCGGCCTGGACGACTAATATCATCTCAAATCAAAATACCATACATATCCCGATGGCACTGCTCAGTTTTAAAAAATGTCGACGGCGAATTTTCTTCTTCTTTTCCTTCCCTCCCCTCCTCAGACGAACACAATTGTCGTCCTATAGGTATATCTTCTCTCTCGCACCATGTCCGACTTTGTGCATGGTCCTCAGGCCGACGTGCGCCCCTCCCACGATGCCAAGCGACGCTCACACGATCTCGAATCTGGAAGCCCCGATCTAGAGCTCAAGGGCGAACATGTTGCCTCTGATTCTGTCCAGGCCGATGAGAACGACGAGGTGATCCGGGCTCGTGAGCTCCAGCAGAAGACGGGAATCTTGCGGAAATTGCGCGCTGGTGAAGAATGGCTGGATGAGAAGATGGGTATTGAAACCCAGGGTGTGGATCGAATTCACGAGGAGGATAAGAAACCTCCGTCTATCATCAATGTCTTTTTTATGTGGTGGTCCGTTACTTGCCATGTGGGAACTCTTCCTATCGGTGTCCTGGGTCCGGAATTCGGCTTGTCGCTCAACCAATCAATTGCTGGTATTGTGGTTGGTACGGTTCTCGGTGCTATCTGCACGGCTTACTGTGGTACTCTTGGTCCTAAAGTACGTATATCCCGTTTTCGAGAGAACAGTAAGACTAACTTGCCAAGCTCGGTCTTCGTGCAATTGCTACCTCGAGGTACTCTTTCGGATTCTACGGTGCAAAACTCTGTTCGGTTCTCAATGTGATTATTGGTGGCGGTTTCGCCGTCGTCAATGTGGTTGTCGTGGGCCAGATTCTCGCTGCCGTTTCCAACTACACCATGTCAATTGCGGTAGGCTGTGTTATCATTGCCATAATCGGCTATGTAATTTCGATCTTTGGCTTCGCTATCATCCATACCTACGAAAAATACTCCTGGATCGTGGCTTTCATCCTGCTGTGCGTCTTGATTGGGGAAGTAGGAGACAAGGTCGATGCCAGCATCCCAGCAGAGGACACGGGTCTATCGTACTCTGGTTCGATGCTGAGTTTCATCGCCCTCTGCTTCTCGTCCTCTTCCGGATGGTGCTCCATCGCCGCAGACTACTACTGCAACTACCCCGCCAACACCAAGTCATGGAAGATATTTTTCCTCACCGTCTTTGGCATTTCCATCCCCACAATCTTCGTAACCGTCATCGGTGCCTGCCTCGGAAACGTAGCACTTAGCGGCGCGGAAGCAAACCCAGGTCTAGCTCTCGCATACGAGGATCATCAACTCGGGGGTCTTCTCCGCGAATGTTTCCACCCCATGGGATTCTCCAAGTTCTGTCTCGTGCTCCTCGTCTTCTCCGTGCTGGGAAACAACGTCGCAGTAAATTACTCCTCCGGCCTCTCCCTCCAACTCCTCGGCCACTACTTCCATGCCGTACCCCGTTTCATCTGGTCCTTTATCAACGCACTCGTCATTGCCGTGTTGGCTATTGCCGGCCGCGAACATCTATCTACCATCGTTAGCAACTTCGTCTCGTTGCTGGGATACTGGACTATCTCCTTCACCTTGATCCTGCTTGTCGAGGACAAGTGGTTCCGTAGAGTCGAAGGCTATAATTTGAATGTCTGGGATGTACCGGGTGGGCTGCCGTGGGGTCTTGCGGCCGTTGTTGCGCTGTTGGCTGGGTATCTCGCTGGTGGTGTGACGGGTATGGCGCAGACATGGTATATTGGTAAGTCAAGTCAACCTTTCCCCCTCTTTCTTTCTCTCATATATACACCTCCTATGACGCAAACAAACACTAACCATCCCCAGGTCCAATCGCAGCCAAATTCGGCGGTTTCGGAGGTGATGTTGGTATCTACTTATCCGGAGTCATCACTCTCGTCGTATACCCACCAGCGCGTTGGTATGAGCGGAAGCGCACTGGCAGATGAGAAGGACTGTATTTGTGTGTCTGTCTATCTGTCGCGTGTTGGTTCGTACGAGGGATATAAATATAGAATACCTATTTAGCAGTACATTATGTATACAATACATATAAATAATAGATCTCCACAGTTTATAACTCCCTGATTCCCATACCACTATACCATACGATACCAGCATATCCTTCCTTCCACCATCTGTCTAACAAACGTATTATAAATTCTATCTATGAGGAGGAAATCAAGTCTATGCTTAAGTAGGAAAGAAAACATAACCAAGACACTCTTATAGAGGTACCAAGAGAAGAATACAGGTCTTAGCATAGGCATTAAATAACATATATAACTACGCGGGTTATCCATGGGAGCAAGTCGTTGATACGTTAGAAAGCATCGCATCTCTTAACATCCTGCTCAGCAGCGCAGAGTTGGACGGCTCGAACAAGGACCTTCCAACAGCTTCTAGCTAAATTCGACCAATGCAATACACCGTAATACTCGCGATTGTGGCAATCACTTGTAGCCCCGACAGAACTCTTCACAATGAAGATAGATGATAGTTAGAGTTAGGGGTGAAATTGTCAATTGATCTTGCAATATACAGCAGAGCTTATCTTATCAGTGAAGTCGCGTTAGAGTCTGGTCTCAGCCGCAGCTGAATGCGATGCGATCCAGTTCAGCCGCATCGCAGCAAACCATGGCGTGGCATTTCTGGTTGCGGAGGTGGTGGTGATGCGAGGTTATGCATATGGAGGAATCTGATTCTTTTGCTCCACGGCCACTGTGGGCTCTCGGCGAGGTATGTTATGCTTGCTGGAATAGAATCTCGGGAGGAAATTAATGTTCTCGGTACAGGACAAATGACAGAGTCGTGATCGGACGTAAAGAGATGCGGAATGTGAAAAGGCTGCCTGGCCCTGGGCAACAAACAATGCAGTGCAGGCAGGGCAGGCATTCGGAGTTTTATTTTAGTGTCTTCGCTTCAGGGCCCATTCACCCTAACGAGACTTCACTTCCTCCATCAACACCGTCACCCGCATCGCCAACTTCTCACAATTACAAGGCTAGATCTATTATCAAATCCGTACAAGCATGAGTACAAATCTCGTGTTAAAATGCCATGTCCCGAATGCTTCTTCTCGGGAAGGCACAGCAAGTTCGCGCATTGACAAGGTACCCAGCCTGCCGTTCATCGTTCATGCTTAGGCCACCACGAGAGCTTTTTGCGGACTCGCAATGTCTTCGGACAGGGATGCATTACTATTCTGGAGCACAATGCTGAAGTCAGCACGTGTTCAAGAGCCATTTTTATCTACTTTCAAGCACACCATACTACGCAAGCCAGAGGTCCTTGGAAGAGTTCGCTAGATGAAGTGGTTGGAGAAAGTAGTCAGACTGCAAGACCAACGAGCTGTGCAAGGGTACGAGGCACAGAAGCAGGAGCTCATTGAGAAAAGAAAGCTGTGGGGGTTCTGTCACGAAAATGGGTACAAGGTAAATCACAACAGAATGTTATTTCATTTCCCTACGTCGAGCTCCTAGTATAGAAATAGCCCGGTTCGATACTCGCATGTCAGTCGTCTGTCACTCCACCGCTTCGCCCTCCCTCTCATCCCTTCCCAAGTCGAGGAACATCAGGATCTGTAACGAGGTCAGTGGGAAAGTCTTAGCACGTCTTGGCTTTTGGCTTACCTGATGTGTACAGATCTACTCGAGATCGGCTTCCTCGACCTCGACGTCGCGGTCAACCTTGACCTTTGTCGGCTCGCGCTTATCGACCTTGACCTTTGTTGGCTCGCGCTTGTCGACCTTGACTTTCGTACGTTTATCGACCTTGACCTTGGTGCGTTTATCGACCTTGACCTTTGTTGGCGCACGTGCCTCAAGCTCTGCCTCTTCCTCTTCCTCTTCAACGTCTCGATCAACCTTGACCTTGGTG